CCCCCTCTGGGCCCTTTTTTAATTATGGAATTTCCAGCTATGTCTACTTCCCACTCCTCCTGGGAAGATTTTGGAGGCTGGAAATCTAAAGAATTATGACACTAGGGATACTAAACTAAACCTAATTTACAGACTTGTAAACAACCTGAAGAAATAGAATTTTCTTTAAATGCCTTTATAAATTGATCAGACCATAGCTTAAAGATTTGTGTGTTGGTGATTGAGCATTTCTTGTTCCAGTTGTTTTCAGTGATTTCTCCAAGAAATAGAGAAAGGCAAGCCCATGCATAGCTGACTTTTCTAAGAAGCAGCAGAAAAATATATTTTGACTTTAGGGGGAAAAGAAACAACATTTAAATTGTCTTTGTGCATCTTGAAGAAGTAAGGTAAATCCCGTACTTTGCTGTGTTGTGTAAATCCCTACCTTAAGGCTTTACATATATAGTTAATTTGATTTTTTAAAAATATCTGTTCCAACAGAAGCATATATGCAGTTAGAAAATTATATGTAGATAAGCTGATGTATAGATAAAATATTACCATGACAGATAGGCCAAAGTTGTTTCTGATATGGAGAATTGCGTCATTTGGATGAATGTGGCAGTGTTATATGGTTATATGTTGAAACCAAATAGTTACTTTAAGTGGAGAAGAATGGAATCAAGGGTATGAATGTGCTAACCTTTTTCTTCCTTTTTCGCTTGTCTTTCGAGGAGTGTGCAGACTTTGGAATAGAACTGCAAATTTATTTCCAGGTGACTCTTAGATTGTAAAACACACATTAATCTTTCAAGAGAGGAATGAACTCCCTCATGTATTGTCATATTTTCTTGCCTGTGTATCTTTAATTTCAGTCTTTGTGATCAGATGATGATGTTCAGTGTAACTTCGGACAATTGATACTGTAAGTTACTGTCAGAACAGATCTGAAAAGGTCCCTGTATTGTTAAGGGATGGTCACTCTTGGGTGAAGACAGATGACGTTTAAACTTTGATAGTTTTGGTTTAGTGCAAGGGACAGTTTTATAGCGTTGTTAAATAACACTGAAGGATATGCTGGAAGAACCGCAGAGAAATACCACACTGTATCAATGAGTGTTCACCATGTTCTGCTCGGTTTGGTCATGGAATATTCACTGTACAGAGCCTAGTGGTCATGAATTTTCTTTGCCTGGTGACTTGCACAGTTAACAGGTACAGAATTAATACCAAACCGAGCCTCAGGAGCAGTAGTGTGTGTATGTGTGCTGTCTGGCTGTAATTTCAGCTGCACTTACCATTTGTTTGCAGCAGTAGTGGAAGCTCCTTCATGAAGCTGCTGTCTGTCTAGGTCAGATGTTTACACTTTAGCTGGTTTTGATGCTTCTGCAATGCAGAATGTTGTTGTGAAGAGACACAGCTCACAGGGAAGTACAGTGTGAAGTATCTTTGGTTGCAGTCTCACATTTTTATTTGTCTGAAATGAATAGCTCTGTCAGGGTAGTTCCTTTCGCATTGCTGCTGCTGCTCTTCCCTCCTTGTTGCATTGTGCCATCCTTGGAATTTGTATGGATAAACTGGTTCAGCCCACTGCAACAGCAGAGAAATAACTCCACAATACACAAATTAACAGATTTTGCTTGTCTACTATTTATGGTGTTGCTACTTGCTGTGAGACCAAACACCAAAGGTGTGATCAAGCAGACAGAATTCTATGTGTAGGGGACTTTGGTAGGGTAGACCTGGGTTTGAGGAAGAGGGTTTGTGGGGAGCCTGCTTGGCTGTGACCTCCTCCTCCTCCTGCCATTATTTAGCTGAAACCCCCCTCAGCCGTTCAGTGCAGCTGAAACCCCCCGTTTTGATCTATTGCTTTTCTTTGTGGGAGCGGGGAAGGTGCCCATGCATGTGTAATGAAGGTGAAAGTAAGGTTTGTAAGACATCGAAGGTTTTTACTATGTTGTGTATCTTACTGCATCTTAAATGTCAAGTGTATCCCAAGATGCTGTGACTACTTGCTACATGCTGCCTGTCGTGGTTGCTCATCAGGAACGAAGCCTCTGCTGAAGCAGCTGACTTGGGTTGACAAGTGTTAGTACAGAGACACTTAAAGGGGGTGTATGGGGATCTGTGCATAAACCACAGTCTCTAAAAATAAGAAAAGACTGATCTTTTCAGGCTTGATTTCTAAAAAGCAAAGAACACCTCAGAAACTTACCTTGCGTTTGGGTCAATAGGATTGTTATATTTTGAACAGCACAAAGTAAAGAATAGATCCATTAAAGAATAAATCCATCTATGTGACAGCATTACAGATTCACAAAGGAAATCATATTTTGTTTTCTTAGCTGCTAAGTGATATGAGGCACATGAAATCTCTCTTAAAATGAAAGTGAACTTGTGAAATTTCTGTCTAATTACATTTTTAGTGAGATGTGCCCTCAGAAAACAATACATATATTTTTGAATGTCTTTTTAGATTGCATCCACAATGTTGGTATTCTCAAAACATCTGTTTGCTTCTCAACAGGTATAAAAAAATACATAAAAAATAAAAATGAGTGAACCGGACCATGGAACGTTCTTTACAACTCGAAGGATTAGTGGTGTGGGTATGTATGCTATCATGTTCAATTTAATTGTCTTATCACAATCTAGAATAAAACTACTTATGAAATACTCTGTGCAGTTAATAGCTGCATCTGGAAGCTTCTATAGCATTCTGATCATAGAATCCCAGACTGGTTTGGGTGGGAAGGGACCTCAGAGCCCATGCAGTGCCACCCCCTGCCCCGGGCAGGGCCACCTTCCACCAGCCCAGGTTGCCCAAAGCCCCGTCCAACCTGGCCTTGAACCCTTCCAGGGAGGGGGCAGCCACAGTTTCTCTGGGCAAATCTGTCAGGGTAGAAAAGGTTCTTCCTCACACCCAACCTACACCCGCCCTCTCCCTTGTCCTGTCACCGCAGGCCCCAGTAAAAAGCCTTTCCCTGTCTCTTATGCTCCCCCTTTACACTCTGAGAGGCCGCAGCCAGGGCTCCCCGGAGCCTTCTCTTCTCCAGCTGAACCCCTCGGCTCTCTCAGCCTTTCTTCCCAGCAGAGGGGTCCCAGCCCTCCAGTCGCTGTCGTGGGCTCCTCTGGCCCCGCTCCAACAGCTCCAGTCTGGCCGGCGCTGGGCCCCCGAGCTGGAGGCAGTGCTGCACGTGGGCTCTGACCAGAGCGGAGCAGAGGGGCAGAATCCCCTCCCTCGCCCCGCTGGCCACGCGTGCTCGATGCAGCCCAGGACACGGCTGGATTTCTGGGCTGCCAGCGCACGGTGCCGACTCACGCCTGAGTCTTCGTCCACCAGGATCCCCAAGTGCTTCTCTGCGGGGCTGATCTCAACCCAGCCAGCCCCAGCCTCTGCCGATACCGGGCAGTGTGCTGGTGCTTGACTTAAAAAAGTCTCCCCACAACGAGTCATGTTGTCAAACTCTGTAGGCCCGTGGCAAATGACAATCCCTGGGGGAGACTTGAAGGAGGATCACGGGATTACAGGATTTACCTTAACATTTACCATGGGGCCCCTCGCACTTAATAGTGAATGGGAAAAGTCTGCTAATACCTAATGGCAAGTTTCCCTACCGCAGGAACCTACAAAAGAGGTTGGAGAGAAAAGGCCCATTCCTTATCCCTATAAGCTTCCCAGCTTATGTAAAGTTACTGAGGATCAGTTTGCCAAAGCTTTATACTACTGGGGCAAAAGTTCAAGTATTTTCATTTACCAGTATAATTGTATCTCAGACTTTAGCAAATATTTGTTATAGAAAATTGTGAAAAGGCATTTTAAAATCTGAAAATTTAATATTTTATATTTTCATCCGTGTATGTATGTGTATATATTTTTGAGTGTGTACATACATATAAAAATATATATAATTTATTTTCTTTGTAAAATATAAGACACATCCATTACATTTGCATCCTCTATGCCAAGACTCTGATTTTGGAGTTAATCTCACATGGGTAGACCCTATTGACTTCAGAAAATTCCTCAGAGCAAAGTCCTCAGTAGAAGAAGAAACTGGTGGAGATGAGTAATAGAGACTCATAAGGTTCAGATATACAGGCTAAAGGAAAAAGCATATTGAAAGCAAAGATAAAATCAAATTATTTGGGGTTAGAGGTTTGGAAATTGAACCTGTCTTTCACTCCTTGTCATTCTTTTCTTAGATGTGAGGGACATTATTAAGTTGGTGAACATGAGCTAGTTACTTGAGGGAGTACCTCAGGTGCCTTCTTTCTCTTACAGTAGTTCTATATGTAGCTATGCGTATTTGTATGTTTTAGATAAAACTTCAAGTGTGTAGAAAATATCAAAATATGTTGCTAAATTAAATTTGGGACTTTCAGAGAAAACTCTAAAGCTTCCAAACATTGCTGCAAGCTTTTTTTGTTTAGAAACCTGACATAATAACAACTTTTTTTATCCAGGTACCACTAAGTTTAACCTTTTAAAGTAAATGGATTCTCTCTGCTTATTCTCCGTTCTCTGATAAGTTTTTCTGTGGTTAGAAGAGATTAAGACAACCCAGCCAAAGGAAAACAGTGCTTCTCCCAGTTATTTTGTAGCATTCCTTGTTCTCTCCATCTATTCATTCAGTGAGATGGTTCATGATGGTTCATTCTCCCTTCCTATTTTTTTCTACACTGAATTATTATTTTTTTATTATTATTTCTATTATTAATTATTGCTTCCTGTACATCAGTACACACTTTTACATTTTTCATCCTTTTTTTCCATGTTTTTTGTTGTCAACCCTCTTATTTTATATTTTAAGAAAGAAAGGGTGTAAAAAAAATTACAGGGATTTGGTTTTTGATCATGTCTCTTATCCTTCCCCTTACTCCACTGTCCTGAGGACTAAAGGTGGCACAGAGAATGCAGGGTTTCCAAAGCTGGTGGTGAGTGAGCGCTGTCGGTCAGGGACAGCAAACAGTCATTTCATGGGGTACTTTGAGGAGATGACAGTGCTGATGTAGCCCACAGCAAATGGGTCAGGGTATTGCAGTTTAGAGTGCCATACCCAGGTGGGGTTCTGACCCCTGGGTACCTGTGCCACAACTCGGAGCCAGCGGTGTGAGAGATCCGCGCCAGTGCAAAGGTTGAGGAGCTCCGCGGGGCCAGGAGTCGCAGGCTGGCAGCTGCCTGCAGCCCGAGGCGCTGCTGGTGCCCGCACTGACACGTGGGCAGGATGCGTGTGGAGCATTCCCCGCCCGCTGACATGAGGGCCTTACCGGGGCCTCTGCGGGGAGGGGTTGGGAGCTTCGTCTCCCCTGGCGTTGTCCTGACGCTTCCCCGCAGCATGGTGAGCTGCCCTGGAGTTCTCCAAGGGGCTCTGATGCTGGAACACCTCATGTCATGCTTTTCCAAGGTCATGAGATGCACAAGCACCCTACCAAGGAGGTGGAGTTAATGGCTTCTAGCGGTAGTTAACATCGTTTAGTAGTACTAGTAGCGGTTACTAGTTCTTTTCCAATAACCAGGACAGGATACACCTGCTAACTTACCTGCCAGGCGTTTGCTTGCCGGGAGCCTGATGGAGAGATGCTGTGGAATCGCTCCCAAGGTCCTGCCCTGCACAGACACGGGCGTCCTGCCCGCAGCGATCCTGCCAGACGAGGGGTGGCTGCGAGCCTTCGGGAGCAGCAACAGAGGAGTCCTGGGCTCGGGAGGAAGAACGGGACGGGTGGCTCCCCGGGGGTTTGGTGACAGAACTTTTGCTACATGGAATTGTGGAATGATGTTCCATGATCTCTGCTGGACAGTGTTGTAGGCAGTCTCAGAAAGAAGGAAAAGAAAATTTTCACATAAAATCTTGCTGATTTAGGGATGAGAACTTTAAATTTGGATTGGTGGGAAGAAAAGCCCACAGATGAACAGAGCTACCTAAAGGGCTAAAACCTGGGAGAAAGGGGATTATTCATACTAAGCTCATAGGAGGGATAAAATGGAAGAAATCAGTGGATCAAACTACCGAATGTTTTGTGTGTAAGGTATATAGAGGATAAAGAAGTACTCATAATATGAGATCAAAGCTATAACCTGGTTAGCATAACACTGATCTGGTTGAATAATTCGCATGTTGAGGAGATTAGTGGCGAAGAAAGCAGGATTGGCAAGCGGGAGGAGAGGAGGAAGCCTCCCTCTGTGTAGGTGGTGTATCCTCTCAAGTTCAGAGAGTGGAGGCTGCCTGCGGGAGCGGTGGGCGATGATTAGAGGGGAGGAAGGACGCGGTTCTGTTCTGATGGTGCAGGGCAATAAGCCAGGAATACCTGTGATTAATAGTCAGCAGCTCGGTGTCCGAGGTTACGTGAGGGGGCTTCTCTTTGGCTGTTGACAAACCTTGTTCAGACAGGATTTGCAGCCCTGGTTGTCTGGATTTGTTCTGATAGGGCTGCTGGTCTCAATCCGTGGCTCCCCCAGTTTTAAGAGCATACATAAAATGTTTTGGGTTACAGTGGCTGTGAAATGGTGAAGGCTCTCACTCTTGGGAGGGTGGCGAGGGGGAAGAGAGATAAAGGGAGCAGATTTTAGAACGTGAAGGTAAGCTCAAAGGAGAGCTCCGTGGTAAGCTCGAGGCAGCTGTTGTGGGGAATAGGCAGTCCCTCGGTGCCGCCTCCTGGAGGCATGGCTGTAAGTTGGCCTCGCCGTGTGCTCAGACTTGGTTGACTTCAAATGCTTTTCTGTTTTTTGGACAGCAGTCTTTCAATACAGTCATAGTCTTTCAAATATTGATGACAGGACTGCAGGAAGTGGACACTGTAATCCATACTGCACGCAGCAGAAACCAAGTATGATGTTTTCCTTGCAGTTCTGTGCCTTTCTGTTTTTTTAAGAAAGTGCACTGCTTTCCCAGAGCCCTGCAGAGCTTTAACAGAGAGATGATGCTGTTCTTATGGCTGGAGATTCAATGGGAAACAGAACTGCAACTCATTCTATTTACACAGAATTGGTAGTTTATGTACCTTTTAGAAAAAAATTACTCCTATTGCTCAATCTGTAGATTATGGTAAATATTGAGATAGGTTTCCAATTTGTGAAGTAAGAATGCATATATTGAAACTTGTGTATTTCTGTATTAGAACTTACTAAAAATCCAGTAAACACAGTTTAAAGTTAATTATTCTTTAAATTCACATATAAAAAACCCTTTTAAAATAAGCTTTTTTTAAACCGACAAGTGGTTAATATTTCTTATATAATTCCTACTATTTTATATTTATTTCAAATTCGTACCAACTAACAATCTCTTTGTTACAGAAACTTTTAATGTTTAAAATATACTGTTTCTAATTTCTATCTGTAATGTTTTCACTTTATGACTCATGCTATAATGCTCCAGAATTTGAAATGACTATATGTGTTTTATGTGATAACTAGAAAATCTGGTGATTCCAATGAGAAATGGTCTTTGCAGCCAGAAGTATAAACCTGTTGACTACAAACATTTACATGAACTTGCTGCGGCAGAAAAAATGGCATCTGCAAAAATTCAATTAAAGGTATGATTTTTATATTATTTGGAATGTGAATGATTTTAAAATTCAACGATCATATGTTGTTTCACTGCCCCAAGGAATCTGAGAATGAATAGGGATAACAAATTGCTGTAACAGTGTTCAGCAAAACAAGGCAAAAGATGAGAGTTTATTAGTTAGCATTATTGTGATTTGGAGACTTTAATGTCAAAGCGTGGAATTTCTTTGAATCAGAGATGCAAAATACGTGTGGGTTCTGTTTCCCAAAAAGACGGGAAAAGTTTGTGTTTGAGTGCTTTGAGGAAATTAATCCAGATTCATTACATAAACTACTCAAAATACTGGGAGTAATGAAGAATTTATGGGAATAAATGGGAAGGGGAGGATGATCCAGAAAGGAAAAACCAAAAAACAGATACGAAGTGAGGATTTCCAAAAGACAAGCTGAAGTAGATTTTGAAAAGAAGATTAAAAGGGTTTTATAGCCATAAAGTGTAAATGTAGAGCTGGGACATTTAGGAGGGTATAAATAGCTGCAGCATGGCCCAGAGGGTAAATACAGAGGCAGTCTGTTCGATACTGGTAGTTTAAATCATCGTTTTAATCAAAGCAGAGGTGGTTTTCGTTGCGGTGTGTGGAGGAAGCGGGGTCAGTAGCAGAGCTGCAGAAGCAGCAGGAGTCGGGCTGCTGCGCTGGTTGGAGCACGAGTGCCCATTTTTGCCCCGTGAGGCCGGTTCTCGCGGGCGGACAGGCTGTCCCGGCGCCTCGCCTTGGGCCGGGCTGGTCCTTGGGTCCAGCTGCACAGACTGAGCCGAGGCTGAGAAACAAAATAGAAGAGGAAAAAAAAAAATCAGTTTCAAACAGACCCCTCCAGCAGTAATGTTATTTGAATGCTTTTTCAGAAAACTGCAAATCCAGTCTAAGGGTAACACAGTTTTGTATGCTGAACCTGTGCTAACATGGCAGTTTCTTGTCTCTCCAGTCCTTGGCCATTCCTCTGAACAGTTGTAATTTTGTGGATGGCCTTTGAAAGGAAAAGCTTTGCTGACATATAGAAACTGTGCAGAACGCAGTGACGGAAGTTTCCTTGTGTAGGTGACTGAGGGACATGATCAGATGATATCTTTGGCATGCAGAAAATATAATTCAGTCTTCATTCAGATGGAATTCAAAGGGGAATTTGCTGAGGAAATATGGGATTATGATAAAATTCCTTTAATGTCAAACATTTAGAAGTTCTTTGAACAGAAGTTATTAAATGAAATATATTGGTTAGTGACATAACCATGTACTTTTTGTGTTCTGATGCTGTTTCTTGTAGCTTAGTAAACGGAATATATACAGTACCAACAGGCATAATTTGCTACTTCATGCTACTATCCTGAAGGCCTTGCAACAAAAAAGGGGGTTGGTGCTGCAGCTTCTCTCTTTGTATTTAAAATAGAAGAGGGCGCCAGGAAATTAGAAGAAAAAGGCATACTTTATAGTATTGCTTCTTTTAATGCATGTAAGTGTAATATATCAAGAGCTCTGGCAGATAGTTCTTTGTGAATTGGCAATACAAAATTCTACTGAATTCATTCAAGCTTTAAACTGATTCTTCATCATCTGTCTTTTGGTATTTCACCTTTTCAAGTGTTTTCCAACTGAGTAGGTAGTGAAATAGATGTGCTGAAAGCTCCACAGAGAATAGAATGTGTTCCCACCTGCTGCTGCTTTGTTGCTCATTCAGGCTATCCGGATTTTGAAGTGCTGGGTTACTCCTCCCTTGAGGTGGAGCCAAGGAAGCAAATGGTAAATCAATTGTTGACCATTTAAGAAGGAAAAATACAGCACATATAGAAAAAAGTTAATATTGCAGCAGTTATACAATTGCTGTAGCTGTAGAATAATTTCAAGATCATATGAAACTGTATGAACAGATCTACTTCAACTTTTGTTTCACTTCAGCCTTAGAATTGATTTGAAGATGTATTTTTAAATTACTTTACATACAGTGTTCTGTTGGTTGAAGCCTGGTTTTACACACCTGATGATAATCAAGAGGAAGCTATAAGTAACTTCAGAAATATAAAAATTTGATTTTAAAAAATGTAAGCATAAGATGAGGAGACATTACCTTTGATTCAAAAGCCTTGTAACACACTGATTGAAAGCATAAACTAGTGTTTTCAGACTTTTACTGCAGAGTCCCACCTGCAGGTTCCCGTGAACCCCTCGCTGCTGGTTCACAGTTACATCATCTCTCCCTGGTGCCTGTTGCAGGTTCTCACCCCAGAGTACCAGTACAGCGGGTTTGCTGCCAAACCACAGTGGATTAACCACGCTCGAGCTGTGGTGCTCCCTTATGTGACTGTCCAGACACTGGGTATATTCAACCAGATACATTAAACTCTGATTCGTTTGAGAGGCGCAAATGTTTCTGGTATTTATTTGTAAGGCTGTAGCTTTGGTGGTGGGCGAATGAGAGGCTGTGATTCGAGAAGTGATGGGCTTGTTGCTTACCTGTGGGTGAGTGCTGCCCAGGAGGGCTCGGCCACTGCCCTCCCCGCTGCCACCTGCCAGTGTCACCTGCCCAGCTGGCGCGGGGAGCAGGATGTCCCCAAGGGGCGTGGGGAGCACAAGGGGCTCTTATGAAGGCAGAGGGCTCACGCCTGGCTTTGTACAGCTTTCCCTGGGCAGGGAAGCTGACTCGGTGTTTTAAAGAGAGCAGATTACTTCCACCTGAGCCAAGTGGAAAACCAGCATTTTTGACTCGGAATGTCATTTCTTTCCTGAACTACATGTGGACTGAGATCTTTAGTCATTTCTCCCTGTTATGAACTAGAACAAGAGTTTCCAAATTTTATTTTCTTCTCTTGCTATCATTCTGCAGTAGAATAATGTACCTGCATGAAAGAAGATCTGGGGAGGTAAAAAATGTGCGTTGCAGGAGACTGGAATGAGAAGGTGCTTTGCAACTGGAAGAAGTTGGCTGGGGTCGGGCTGGGGTTGGCTGTCCTGGAGGAGGACAGCGAAGAGAGAAGGAGCAGGAGAGGAGCTGGTTCTGATCTGAAATGCTGCTTTGTCCTGAGTATCGCTGAGAAGCCACAAGACAGTTGTGATGGCAGGAGGATGAGAAAAAACTGACTTCTCAGGAGCTTCTGGCAGCCACACACAACTTCTGATCCTTTTTGCTTCGTTGTTGGTTGACCAGAATCATCTGGCTACCACTTCATTGGCCTTGCCCTGACGGCTGTTCCTCTGGTTTAAGCAGCAACTCCATCTCCAAAGCATGTATTTCTATTTTCTCTGAAGTTGGAAGCAATGTTTTTGTGAAGCCCTCAGACTGTTTCAGAGCCTCTTTAATTGGATAGATTTCAAAAAAGCAGTCTTTGTTAGTAATCAATTTTTGAAATTCTTTTTTTTGAAAGACACACTTGCACTCTTTCATCTTCCCCCCTGTGAGAATGTGTATTTTTCTTTTCTTCTGCTCATCTTTCCCCCTTCACCTCCTGGGAAATAGGAAAGAAAAGGAGAAAAAGGGAAAGAGGAAAACAGGCTGCATTTTTTTCACTTTCTCTTCTCATTTAATTGTGATTTGAAATGGAATAAATTTTTTCATGAGAATTGGTTACATCTGAATCCATTGTTCTTTCAAAAAACAGTTTTGTAAAAAGCTTTTAGGTTCACCATTCTGTAGTTAAAAGTTTCCATATGTGAAGGCATTTGATAAAGCTATTGAACAGATTCAGAGTACTTACAAGCTTTATTTTTTTCCTGCAGATTAAAAAAGCAGAGCAAGTTTCAAAAATTAGCAAAGAGCAAATGCTGCTGAAACAGCATCAGCAAGTGTGGTGGCAAGAGCATAAAAGACTGAGGGAGAACAGGTAAGATCTGAGGAATCTCAACTAGCCATTATTAAAGAAATACTTCAGTAGACAGATTCTAGTGTGACGTACTTGATTCAAGGGACATTAAGAGGAAAAGATTCAAATACCTGAACTGAAGATAACTTCATTCAGGAGTTTCAGTGATCCCCACTGAAAAGGGTCTGTAGATGTGAAGAGAACCCCTAAAGGGAGGGGGGGGATGCACCTCTTCGTTACGATCTCAGAGCTGTTCAGCTGGCCTATCAACAGCTGAAGAACAGGTTTTTGTAGGAGCACCAGAAGTTTTCAGATAGTTCTTCCTTCCTCCTTGTCTCTGGAGGTGCATGCTGATTCACACTACAGCAGGGACCCTGAGCTTGCATGCTGGTTATGCAGCAGATCAAGGGGAGCAGTCTGGGCTCAGAGGAGGGTGGCTTCCATACCACCTCCCTGACAAGTCCTGCTCTTCGTAACCTTCCCAGAAGAAGAATCCCCCTTTTTACTTCATTATTAGAGTATTTGAGGCTTATCATTCTTGAAAACTTAACGAATAAGAACTTAAAACTTCTGTAGAACTTATACTTTCCAGGGAAAAAGCAGAAGCAGAAATAAAGACTTTTCTTGATGAAGAAAGCCATAAGCACAACTTTTTTTTGGATATGAGAGACTTGGGTAAGAGTTTTTTTCATTTCTTGATTATTTATTATAGTCAGAATTATCTTGTTTATTTGTCTGAGTTTTTAAATCCCTGCCTTGACAGGTTTAGATTTAGAAAGCACAGTGCTGTGTAATATTTTGTGTGCTTTAGAAAGCTTTATGTTTCATTTGGATGTAGAGCATAAATTATCAAAGGAGCGGGATACATACCAAACAAATACTGTAGTTCCGATCTGGCAACTGAAAGAGAATTTGAAACTCAGGCTGTCTGAGATGCAGTGTCACCTCTCAGAAGAATCTTGTCTGAAATCTAAGATCAATCCAGTTGAGATGTTACAGCAGGTTGGTATTTTAACTTTATTTTTACAATTTATTATCACCGTCTTTTTAGCATTTTAATTTATTTTTATGTAATACTTTTGTGAATATAACTCACATTCAGAGCATACAGTAACTTCTGCACTTGCCGTAGTGTAAATCTGCCTCGCTAAAATCCGTAAAAGCATAGCAGTGTAGAACTGGAAATCAGGCTCTTTGTTTCTAAATAAGATCTTTTTTATTATAACAAGATAAAGAAGTAACATATTTCATGAAATAGGTCCAATTTGTGAAGAAGCAACAGAAGGCAGATTTGGAATTCCTTATCCTTGAAAGTCTGGCTTTGGAAAGAGAGCTTGGAGACTATAAAACCAAAGTAAGCTTTTCCTTATAAGCTTAATTAGCAATTTCTTGAGAGTGAAAATATAACGCAGAGTAGTCCTCTGAGTGACATTTCTTCATCACAGGCTCTAGCACATTCTTCTGAAGAGAAAAATGGACGTTTCCTTGAAGTCCCTTCAGCACTGCTGTCTTTGGAGTGCCCCTATCCTGATCTGAAGAGCTTGGTTATCGATGAATACCGACGGCTCGCGAGGGGGTACTGGTCGAGGCTGCGAGAGCTTGATCAGCAGCTGGACGCTTTGTTTAGGTAATGACCTCAGTTTCTGGATTTCATCTGTTGGGTATAAAATATAAATCATTCTAATGTACTGTGTGATCTGTAGATCCTGCAGCCGCCTTTACCTTCAGAGGTGGTTGTGTTTCTGCAGAGCAGAGGTCATCGAGGTGCCGCCCAGCTCTCTGGGTTAAATAGTTGTTTGCTGTTTGCACAGCTGAGAGAGTTGAGGCAGCCCTCTGCGAAGCTTCAATCTGAAATGAGAAGCAAAATGTTTTGTGGATTAAAGAACCAACAATCTGGTGTGCATCGAATGTGCTCTTCACATGCTTTTGCATGAATAGAAATGATTCTTTCTGTGTGGTAATTACACTATCAGGTTTATGCCAGAAAAGTACAGTCTTTCTGAGAGCGATCTAGAATTATTTATCTGTAAAGCAGATAAATAGGCCCAATCTCTTCACAAATTTGGGATCACTGCAGTAATCCTCATCACAAAGGAATGTAAAAAAATGTATGGAGCTCTGATTCATAACTGAAAGGAGAAATTTTCTATAAATGGAAGAGTTTATAGAGAGAACACAAATACTGATAATTATCTAGAAATGGAACATACCTATATATTAATAGTGTGAAGCTTAGCTTTTCCACCGAGGCTAACTTGAGTCCGGAAGGCACTGAGCTGCTGGGACTGGACCAGCCTTGACTTCTTTTTGCCACCTACTGCTATTCCTCTGGCTCAGGATGTCATCAGATTTTAAGAAGACTGAGAATAGGAAGGTCAGTGGATTCATTTGAAGCCTGGGCAGAAGAAACTGGGGAGAGCAGGAAAGTCCCCAGATTTCTTCAGTAAAACAATTACATGCTGCTTCTAAATACCCCTCTTTTTCTATATACACCTGCAGTGCAGCACCTAAATCTTCTGCCACTGCTGCTGAATTAGTTTGGGGGTGCTGAAACAGGTTTCAGATGTTGGATCCTGTAAAAAGTGATGTTATCATCTACTCACATCTTGTGTAATTGTACAGATAGATAGTCTGTAGGTGGTTCTTCTGAACCTATATATTATTACTGTAATGTCCTCGCCATTATAACATCATCCTTATTAAAAATTCTTCCCATCTTTCCCATACTTATAACATTTGTTAAGTGGCAAATTTACAGCAGTTCCTTTACTGCTGTCTGATATTTTGTTACAGTTGCTCTTATGGAAGAAGTTTTAACAACCTTCATGAGAAAATCTGTGCCAAATACTAAATCATTAAATATGTACAAAGTCTTTCTAATGGTTTTAATTAAAATTATGTTAAAGTTTATGATCAACACAATTTTGATGAAAATTCATAAATTAAAATCCCTCAATCCAAAGAGCATATGTGCTACTGAATAGTAGACAAATATCAATGTAGACAACAGAATCTATGACAATGGTTGGAAAACCCACCGTGGCATTTTCATTGATCGTATGCCAGGTTCAAATTTAGGTCTTGAGCTAATTTTCACTGATTATTAAGTAACATCTAGACTTAAAGAAAAGATACCATATTTGTAAGAGAAAGAAATTCAGTTGTAGGGCATGAAGACACGTGCAGTGGTACGTGGAAGGAGTTAAGTTATGCTATCTAGATGGGAGAAGAGAGGCAGGGGTAGCTGGAGGAAGTGCTGGTGGCCGCGACGGCAGCGTGCGGGTGGGACGGAAGGTAACCTGGGCAATTCACCCAGCGTGGACCAGCGGGTGCCAGTGCTGCTGGCTGGGAACCTATGAAACTGTAAATGAACCATCAGAAATTATCTCAGGCAGTTTATTTAAAGCTAGATCTTGGTCCTTTTTTGTTTGCCTTCTGGTCTCCAAATCTCGCTCGTTTATGCTTCTATGATTCTATCCACAACAATGTTAAAAATGTGTTTTCAGTAAAAAAAGCAAGGCTTTGTTCTTGCAGAATTGCTTACTCCCCAGATCTGGGTTTTATAGAAGAGACAACACTTTATCACTTCTTACATTTATATTGGCTAATTTGCATGAATGTGTTTTATGAGTTTGCAAAGATACAGCCTTGTGATTTAAGGATTCTGTAATTCATCAAGCCATCTTTGATCCAGCTAACACAGATAATGCTGTCAAAACTTGAGTGACAGATTTTTGACCTTGGTACGTATCCACTGTACTCTACAGATTAATATAGCCTTAATGAAGCCTTTGCAATTACTGTCATTGCTCTGTACCCAAAGACACCAAACACTCTTCTGCAATTCATTTTTTTTCTCATTTTTCTAATTTGAGAAGTCGCTCAGTAGAGCAGTATGATTACATGATAAGTTAGTCACTTCATCAGAGGATTACTTCTCCGTCATTCCTCCTCTCTCATATGCTTGAATGTGGAGTAGAGAAACTGTAAGTTAATGCTACTCTTCTGGTGGTACACATCTCCTTGTTTAACTGTTCAGAGTGTCTGCAACAGAAAATTTAGAAAATGTGCATAGAATTTCCAAAGAAGAAAAATCAGAAGAGAATATTCTGGTCTGCTGTATTCTTTGTGTACTTTTCAGTCCTACTAGAATGCTCATTACTCTTTATTGCTTTTAGAAACTGAAGAAGAATTTGGGTTTTTTTCAAGCATAATACAGAATGTTTTATAACCTAAATTCACTTCTTTGACTGCTGCTAAAATACAAATTTTTGTGTTTGGAAAAAGCCCACGTCCTGAGTTACCCACAACTGTAGACTTGTGTGTTCTAGCTGATGGCTCTCTGAGCACTGTTGCCTGTTTCCCACAATGTCCAAGGAGGTCTGAGTCACTTAAGCCGCGAAGGATGCACGGGGTATCGCGTGTTCAGCACCACTTCCTCTGCAGCGTCCTTTCACCTGAATGGGATGTTAGGACTAAGTCAAGTAAATTTAGTTCCTCCTTTCAGGCCTGCTGCTGGGGGGGTTCTGATACAACAGTCGGCAGGGACACAATTAGCAGTGGGGGAGGTTCGCCGCTCCCTCGGTGGTGTCCTTGCAGCCCGTGTGCCGCAGATGCGGAGACAGCAGCGTGCCTCGGGTGCACGCTGCTATTGCAAAGGGTCGGGGGGGGCAGGGTGGCTTCCCCTTCGAGCTGCTGATATCCTGTAGGAAGTGTAAAGCCAGGGATTAGCCCTGGGTATATCCGTTTCAAAGGACGCAGCTGCCGCAGGGTTGGTGAATATAAGACTATTGCTGTGTTTCCGTTCTCAAACAGGATAAAGATTGTACTGTGTTTTAGTAGAATGGTACATACAGGGAAAGCAAGTGCTACATTTAAAATGTGGGTCATGCATTCAGCCTCGTAAAAGTTTGTCAGTATCTCGACACTGAAGAAGCCTGATATTAGCGTAAATACTAATGTCAAATGTGTTGGCACTTTTCAAACTCGATTTAGATGAGATCTCCCTTTCTGGAATTCTACAAAAGTGTAAATGAAGTGACATCTTGAATTCAATCAGGCAGGCTATTTTGAAATTCTCCATGCCTTCAATGCTTACGAACACACTGGGCTGGATCATGCTGCTTTTTTTTTTTTTTTTTTTTTTCACACAGCTGACAAGATCTCAGCACAGCTGACAAGTTTTGGCACAGCTGACAAACCAAGGCATTGGCAGTCAGTTTGTCCCTACTTACAATAAACTACGTGTAGCTATAGCTACAGCTGATTGCTCCTGAGTATCTTCCATGAACCTTAATTTCTCCACCTTGAGTAGTGTAGAGATCTGTTGTGAGCTGGCCCGTGGAGGAACACGCAAGTTGGAGGGAACCTCCAGAGCTGTGTGAGGTGTTGGAGGCAGAAGCTGAGGCAGCAGCTGGTGTGTCTGTCCCTGTGTGCTGGAGGCAGAGGAGAGGGCCCGCAGAATCTGTGCTCTTCCCTGCTCTCAAGTTCAGGGTATAATGTTTCCTGGCCAAAATGTATCTTACTCTGCCTTACTCTTCTTGTAGACAGAAGACCAGTATTTGTTCACAAACCTGTGTGATCCAAAATATCTAAGGTGGATTGTTCCAAAAGAGAATGTCAGCTCTTAGAGCTGTCTCATTACTAAAATAACATGCTCAAATGGCACCATACCAAGGACTAGCAGAAGAGGATTAGTGATTTCTCTCAGAAATTACAAGAGGTAGTTCAAAATCCAACCTGTAAGCTAGAGAACACTCTCTTAGGATGGCTGGTACTCCCTCCGAGTGAAGGCTAGCAGGGTTTTATGGTGGTTCTTATAAGAAACAAGTTTTAGGGCTGGAAAGACAAGAATGCTAGGTGTTCCTGTAAGAAAAAAAAAATTTTATACTCAGTTCAGCATCAGTAGGAACAGTGGAAGTGGAAGAGATTTAAACATAACAAAGAATAATTAATTAATTAAAATTATTCTTCAGAAAGCCTATACCTCAGAATATCAAATTATGACACAGAAATTCTAAAATTAATAAATGAACTGATTTCATAGAAAAGCTCCCTCTAGAGAGAAGGGAGGAGTTTCAAACATTAATTTCTGAGGAGCAGTTGCAAGACGTTTAGGTGTTGCAGAAGTAGCACATCTCCCCAGTACCCCTCTGTGCCAAAGCTCGGGGACTCTGGTCTTTGGAGAACTGGGTCTGCTGATCAGAACCTGCAGCGTGAAGGGGATATTACTGCAGCCCTTCCCTCTTTGAAGGATTCCTTAGCCCCATTTCACTTTCTGGGGCGCTCTTTCTTCTCTATACTTGGTGTATGAAAAATCCCTCACCTCAGACACCCGTGCTCATTGTCTGGCATGGGGGGTGTAAGCACTCACCCATACAGAAACACTTCCCTTGTTGTTCTGCTTTTGCTAATGTGATTTCACTTTTTATGTTGCCTCCAACATTTGCTCGGTAGCTGCAAATAAACTTTTTCCAGGAGCTAGAGCTTTTCTCTCCTCCATTTCAAAGCCACCTCCATCTCTTTTCATGATGGCTGGATTTAGTAGCAAACAGCTGGGTCCTAGAAATAGTTTGCCAAATATTTCATGCAGTTAATGAGAAAGGGAAATAGGTGGAAGGTATGAATATTGCATGTCTATCTCGTGTAAGCTGGTGGAGGGGAAGCTGTCTCCTTCCACAACTTTATTAATTTTCGCCCACTAATGAGTCCCCAAGTTGGGATTACGCCTGTAGTATTCCTAGTCCTGAACTTGTACCTGCACTGTGGTGAGGAGCTTTGCTGCCTGAACTTGCGCTGCAACACGTGGCCCCGTGTGACCGGGGGCGGGTGGCCTCGAGGAGGGGCAGGTCCGTGCCCCGTGCCTGCACGGTCCGTGCCCCGCCGCCGGCCCGCTGCTCCTTGCCACGCTTTGCGCCACAAGTTGGGATGCTGTTGGATTCTCGTTTTTATTGGCTACGTTTTGTGAATTATTCTAGAGCTGCCAACAAATGCAGGTCGTGAACCCTTCTCTTGTGCGGAAAAGCAAGGACTAAAGTGTCAGTGTATGTTCTTTGCCCTGTGGCGTGATACTGCTACCTGCGGACACTTCAGTCTTTTTAAAGATAATTTTCCACATGTCGCTTTCATTTTACTCCACTGATAGATAGATAGATAGATAGATAGATAGATAGATAGATAGATAGATAGATAAGCTACTCAAAAGCACTACCACAGTGTGCCAGCTAAGAGTTAGTGCTTCATCTTTTCCTACAAAAAACATTTTGTGACCGGAATCTCTGTGTATGCAATACAAACGTCATTACTGCATAGCTCCCTGTTCTGCTGTGTTTGCAGCACTAATGGTCATGACAATGTTACTGGGGTTTACTGAAGGAGGAGGGGTGTGATTTCTCCGTACCTGACCATCTTCAATGTGATCCTGTCTGCATAAAAGGCAAGAGTAACTTTTAACATTGATTCAAATAAAAACAAAATACAGAAAAGGTAGGGTGCAGGAAACAAGGTGTTGATGACCAAGGAATAGTAATTTTAGTGTTTCCCCATATTTGGTTACCCTTGAGTTGCCACCATTCTGATCCTGGAATAACGATTCTGTGCTGAAAATGTTATAGTAAGCTAAGAATCATTTTTGTTTCATGAAAGTCAGAGGATGAAGAATTGAAGCGGGTAGGAAAGAACCTCTGATCACTAGCTGTCTCCAGAAAGATGGGTGAAGGTTAAATCTTTCTTAAGACCATAAGGGTAAGAATAAAGCCCATTATTCTGCCTGAAGAAAACTGTAAAATAAATGCCTTTAGGTAAGGGAAGGTTAGAGAAGCTTAGTCCAGATCTGTGCCAGCTCTGCAGCAAAGCATGCAGCAGCAGCAAGTGCTGGTAGAGAGGGAAAAGATGAAATGGTGTGATCAAGGGATTGGGTTCCCCTGCCTGACAGGATATTACTGCCACGGCGGTTTGTTGAAAGGGGATATTGTGTCTTTGCGTTCTTGAGAGATGTCTGTAGGTGAGGCTTTCCATTTCTAGGGATATGTTCTTGTTCCCTCCTTCAGTGTCCCACGATACTGTACAGTGGTGGTAATACACTGCGGCTTCACTGCACAATGGGTTTTAAAAACAGCTGTGCTAAACTGGATTACGTAGATGTATTTATTTTTTTAATACTTGTGTCCACTATGCTGTCTTTAGAGATAATGCTAGATCTTATTGTAAAATCTAGTTTAATATTAATTGCATATAAGCATCTCACAAAACTCATTTTTTAAATAGCTGGTATTTCTGCTGGGTAAGGATGAAGTTGTGCTAACGTCCTGCTGAGCACAGTGCTGTTAAATACCAGGACACCGCTGCTGGCTCGGGAGGTCCGAGGGCTGCAACCAGCTGGGGGCTGCAGGAATTTGTTGGGGGGTAGACTCATGTGATTGCTGCCTTTTAATTTTCCCTGGGCTTTTAGTCACTTTTGAAAACAGGTCACTGGGCTGGAGAGACCTTTTGGTGTGACTCTGCTGCAGCGCATAACCAATGCTGACAGTAAAAGCCTGATGTTAATCCCTTCAAGGCCAAGAGTGCAGGTTGAGGGTAAAATCTAATCTACGAAATCTAAACCTGTGGTGCTCTGCTGTAGTTTTGTTACTTCTTGGTACTCTAGTTTTCTGAAATACATGGATGCATACTGACTATTCCACCTCCTGTTTTAAAAAATTGTGTGTCTTAGGCCTTGCTGGTGAGGTTATGGCTGTCAGAAGTTTGTTTTTAAGCTAGTTCTGCATTTAGCTACATACAAGTGTTATCACTTCATGCATTTCATTTTGATCATTTATTTAGTCAGTGATAGAGACTGTTCATCATCTTCCTTTTTCACATTGTATTTTCTCTGTGATGTGGCTATTCATCAATGTAACATATTTGAGAAAAACAATGTCATTCCCCAGTAAAAAAACAGGTTAGTGAAGGAACAACTCACTCGAATGATGGCACAATAAACGGTCACATTAGAAAAGCAATAGAGGTTTGCTTTGTTTCATTAAAGTGAATCTAAATTTCTCAGCTCTGATCCAACATCGAGTTTACAGGTTGAGGATTGTGAGCCCATGGAGAGGTTGGGTCTTTAAAAATAAACTAGAACCAAACTCCTCCTCTTCAGGTATTAAGTTATACTGGAGATGACTGTCTTGCATTTCTGTAGGAACATTGAATGGAAGGAAGAAGATCAGTGGGTTTTTCAGACTGTTACCAGTCAGTACCCAAGGGATCTTCAGAGGAGGAGGACTTTGTACCTCGACGTGCTGCAGAGATACCTTCCTCACAAGTCCAGGCGTGATCTGGTCAGTGGTGTTTTAAAAATTAGATCACTTCTATAAATTCTTACATAAATCCTGTAGTGAACATTTGTATTAAAGAATGTTTATAAAAGTTTTTTTATTTTAAAATTTCTTAATTATAAATTTTATTCTGCACAGTGAAGAAGGGATGTCCCTGTCCTCGAAATGCACAAACTTGAAAACCTGCCACTTCCTCACAATAAGCACTGTGGAGATTTTATCGTTCCACATACTCTTCCAGCCAGATTCACAAAATGAGTTTGTTAGCATTGCTTTTGCTGTACAGTTTCACAGTTATATCATGCTATTCTGCTTCTCTTGGTATTTTTATTTTTGATGAGGATGGATGGCATTGTCGCGCTGTCTAGGAATAGTTATTTTAATTGGTCTGTGGCACATACATAGCAGGAAGAGTGGAAAGTTATCTCCTGCTCTCGGGGAGAGGCTATTTTTACATGCGTAATGCCTTTCAAATTGATTGCTGATTCCTCTTACACTCCACAGTGAATAAGCACATAGCAGCTAATAGAGAAACCCATTTCAAGGCCAGAACACTTTGCGATGTCTTAAGTAAAGTAGGAGTCTTTTTTTATCCCTGTATGTATTTTTAGACCATCTATGTGCTTGTGTTTGAGGAGCGCCTAGTGCAAAGGAGTGACAGTGAAATGATACTGATAATTAGCATAGTTTCACCAAAAATAAAGTTCTTATGGATTTCAGAACTTTTGCCTGTGAGAGCTGGGCCAAATAATTACATGCTTTGTACAATGTAGGTATATTTTAAGCAGAGCCGTTACTAATGGGTATCAGTGGGTATCCCTAATTCTTTGAAGGTTTGTTTTAGTTTTAAAAGTTCTGAATTTAAAAATCACAATTGTGCATTGAATTGCCATCTCTTAGTATGCATATGTGTGACAAATACAGGAATACTAAAACACCACTAAGAATCTATATTCTTCGAGCATCCGTGTCCCGTTAGAGTACTGAACTCTGACCTCCTCTGCCTCCTTCCCTCCGAGGGATGGATCAGTGGGCGAGCACTGCGTGGCTTGTCAGAGAGGGCTGGGCGCAGAGCTGCAAACTTTCCACCCTATTTCTTGTTTCTGAGTGTCCCAGCTTTAGGACCTTGCTGGCGAGGCTCACCTGGGTTTGTGGCAGCAGCCAAGGTGCTGTGAACCGCGGATGCAGTAGCCTATGTGCGTTTGGCCAAAGAGAAGCTCCAGAGGTTTTGGTGCCACTTTATCTTCCTCCAGCTACGAGTGGACAGCAATATCTGTGGGCTAGGCACCAGGCGAGTCAGCATCCCCCGTCCCCTGCCAAAAGCCTGGAAATCAGCACCAAGAGTGGTCCCCTTGACACCCGTGAGCAGCCAGCCATCTCTAGAACCTCCCTCGTCCTTGTAACCTGTGTTTTGGGGGATTTAAGACAGGCCCAAGACTCTACTGTCTCCGCCTGTGCAGCCTTACCTGTTACTGCTCTGCCACAGCTGCAAGCCCCAGTGTCCTGGGGGACCTCACTGAACAGGGCCAAAGAAGGTGTGTGTAGGAGTGAACACTGATCATTTTTGTTAGGTGGTGACATTGGTGGTGGCAATATGCTGCCTGGCAAGCTAAAAATCCATATCCAGACTTCCTGCTAGGAAAGAAAAAGTGAAGCTGCTCCTGATCTGTAGTGAGTTCCTACAGCTGCTGGAGCTGTAGATCTTCATTTGCTACAAAGAGCCCCATGTTGCTGAAAGTGCTCGATTTCTCTGGGGATGTACGGAAGGGACCTGCTTGCGCTGGGTACTTGAGGGCAGGAAGGAGCTGTTGCGTTTGATTCATTCACACGGCAGAGGCGTCGCTCAGAGCAGAACGGTGGGATGGCAGGATGGTACCGCTGGGGGAGAGCTGGGCTGGTGCCACCGCCTGCCGCTGCGGGAGAGCGCAGCGCTCCTGGCGGGATCCTGCCGGGCCCTGAGCTCTGAGATACTGGCGATACAAGAACTACATCAGTTACGTTCGAGGTTGGCAGAAATGTCTAGAATTATTTTATTAACGCATAGTTTTTAAACCTTTTTGAAACACTTTTTTAGGTTCTTCATGAGAAAGCTCGGGATCGTTACCACTTCATTAGGAGCCAGCGCAGAGCCTTGATATTAGATTGGGCACAAGCTAAGAAAGCCTTTTTGCTTAAGGGAGCGATGACTCTTGCTGAAGCCTCTGCTGCTCATGAGGCAGAAGTACTGCTGGCTAATACCAGACAGAAGCAGCAGGAGATCTGTGCAGATCTGAAAGCAAAGGTAGGTTCAGTTATAAATCTCCCACATCCAAGTCTGGTTTTTACTGGTAAATTCAAAATGAAGTTACAGTGTTTAAGTGAAGAAAAACTAACTGAAGCTAGTTGTCATAATCCTGGTTTTACTGGCCTGATTGAATTGTTTGAGGCAGTTGGGGAAAAAAAGCAAACTAATCTGTTGGCGGGGATCAGGATGGTTGTGAAGCTCAGCTTGCAAATGGCTTTGCAGATGCTCGGTTTCATTACCAACGAGGATTCTTGTTAGTGCTACAACCAGCTCTTGAACTTTGTTTGTCATTTCTTGATTAAGAATTTGATTACCTAGCACACTTTAGACCTTACTATGAGTTTCATACTGTGGTTATAATCTCTGTAGAAACAGCAGTCACATTTATTTTGATGGATTTTGAGCACCTTTGAAGAGTTTGAACTGTATTTCAGTGCTGGAAGAACAAGATTTGTTCTGCAGTTTATAATATGAGAGACTGTAAGCAAGCTACAGGAGTAAAAGTCTGGCACCAAATTCCTTGGGTTCCTTTGTAACACTGGCAAATCACAAAAGTGTGTCCTTCAGAAAAGTGGGATTGATATCTCTGCTGTCTGAGACTCAGTTCATAATTGCTTTTAGCACTAGAATCCCCAGAAGTGCAAGTGAAGTGTTCCATTCATTATCACCACCACCAGATTTCTAGATTAATGCCAGTCTGTTCTCAGAGAAACAATGAATCGTAGGATCCCAGAGTGGTCTGGGCGGGAAGGGACCTCAGAGCCCGTGCAGTGCCACCCGCTGCCCCGGGCAGGGCCACCTGCCACCAGCCCAGGTTGCCCAAAGCCCCGTCCAACCTGGCCTTGAGCCCTTCCAGGGAGGGGGCAGCCACAGCTTCTCTGGGCAGCCTGTGCCAGGGCCTCACCCCCCTCACAGGGGAGAATTTCTGCCTTAGATCTCATCTAAATCTCCCTCTGTCAGTTTAACCCCGTTCCCCCTCGTCCTATCCCTCCCCCTGATGACGAGTCCCCCCCCTTTCCCACAGCCCCTTTCAGCCCTGGGGGGCCGCTCTAAGGTCTCCCCGGAGCCTTCTCTCCTCCAGCTGAACCCCCCAACTCTCCCAGCCTGTCCTCACAGGGGTGCTCCAGCCCCCCCAGCATCTCCGTGGCCTCCTCTGGCCCCGCTCCAGCAGGTCCTATCTTCCCTTCTGTGTATTTTTAAGAATGCTTTCTAAGACCTCAAAAAATGGATCTCAACTTGTTTGCCCTTGTCATGGAGGTTTCACAGTATTCTGGAAGGTGATTTACTGTGTTAAGAGGTGAAAAAAGATAATAACACCTGGGGTTTTTTTGGTAAGAGAATAGAATAAAATGGGAGGAGCCCAGACACAAGAAAAAGGTGCTACGATGTTGCTGCCTAATGCATTTGTAAGGGAACTACATTTCTGGGCGTGACAGACATGTTAAGGTTTGTTTAATCTGCTCTCTGAATTTCCACTTGCACAGAACTCCTGACAGCATACATGGTGGATTATTCTCACCTTACCAGCATTACCTCTGTTGAACCCTTACTTTTCAGCAAAATACTAAACTCTTGCTTTTGGTTTTCTGTAAGTAGAAAAACACAGTAAAACCTGTACTGTGATGAAGATTTTTGATGTTGGTGCTAGTTTTTCACTATAGTACTAATACCAAAAACCTTCTGTCTCCTGTTCCTGGAGCCATCTGTCATCAGAGGGTTTTAATCTAAATACTTTAGGGTTAGAAACTGTCTGGGCTTCCCACAGTGGGGAGTGGGGGACTACCCTACTTTAACTGCTCTGGGGGCTTCCCTGGAGCCAGGTGGAGTAAGGAGTGGTTCTCCAGAGTTGGGGCAGTTGTTTGGTTTGTTTGGGTTTCTTTTACGTAGACCCGCCTTTCTGGAATTGCTGTGTCTCTCTTCTCTGCACAGTTAGAGGTGCAAGGGCCATTTATTCCAAAACTGAATTTATGACTCAGTCTTTTTTTTTCTTTTTTCTTACTTTTTGTGGGGAAGAAAAAACCCCAAGCAAGTGTTGGAGTACTTATGTGGCCTCCATGTAGCTTAAGAATCTCACTAATTCATTGAATGTTGTCTGAAAGTTTTTTGAGTTCTGACCTCCTGTTTCCAGCAATGTGGAACTGTTTGAAACTTAAACCTATTAGGCCTGCACTTTTCAAAAGGTGGCTTTGTTAAATTGTTGAACGTTTGAACAAAACCCATTCACCTGTTTCTCAGAAAAAAAGAAATGAAAAGGTACATTTTTTTCATTAAAGGAGGATATCATTGTGACCTTGTTTTGATCAGCTCTGCAGCTGAAAGGGCTAGAGGACGGAAGTTGAAATTGGGCAAGGAGCTAGCTGTTTTTCAAAGAAATTATTCTGAATGTATCCATGGGTTTTGTTTGGATTTGATGAGTATATGCATTTGAAAACTTGTACTTTACCCAGTTACAGTTCATTTTACAGACTTGTCTTTCTGCACTCCTGAAGCGTGCGGCTCCCCAGTGTGGGTAGGGGCTGGGGGTAGAAGGGACCCTCGGCCTCAGGAGTTGGCTCACGGGGAGCACCCAGCCTGGCCAGGGCCCGGCACACGCCGTGAAAAGGGAACCTCTCTGAGTGTGGACCTGGGGGTCAGGGATGAGGGCTATTCTCCCACTTTCTCTTTTTGGCCATTCATTGACTTGGTTTTTTACATTTCAGTAAGTTTAGCACCGGCGGGTTTCAGGAGCAGTCATAGCGTTTCTGTGCTGACTTACATCAGCTGCTAACCAAGGTGGGGACACAGACACTAAGCTATGTAAGCAGTTCTAGAAATGCAAAGGGTCACTAGATCCATTCTGCAGACCAAATATGCAGAAACACATTAAAATCAAAGTGGATTGTTTAAGCAGCTGTTAATGGTAGAGTGTGAGAAGAGGAAAGCTGAATATGACACCGTTCATTCAACTTCCAGTCAGTAAACCGTTTAGCCTGTTCTACTCGATTTAAAAGGGCTACCTGTCTGTATTCTATGTTCTTTGAGTTTGTGGGGTTTTTCAAAATAGTTTTTCTTTGTGTGTGAAAATCAGTTTGTTCCTAATTGTAGTACAAATTGAGCAATGGAAAAGAGAAAGAAGATATTCATGTGTGACAGGCTATGCATTTTTTAATTACTGCAGTAACCACATGATCTCACCTACCTTTTCTATAGTTCTTTTAATCTCTCAACAGCAAACCAAAGGCACAGCAAACAGACTAAGGGATACATTATTTAGAGCTGGTTTAAATGCACTAGAAGCAACTATGCCATCAGTGAGACTCTAGGCCTTGTGACTGATAAGAGGTGATAGCAATTGAGAAGTAAAGCAGCAGAGAAGTTAATGTTTATAGCAGTTTTTACTTGGGGAACGGACTGTCAAATTCTTGTTCCATGTCACAGAAGATGTCCTTAACAGAATTCAGTCTCCAAGGAGGACTTTGAAACAACTCAAGAAGCTCAGGTGAAATAAATCACAAGGGCCATATGGTAGTTATCAGAATGAAATAAAGTGTGAAATGCATAATGCTAGTGAGGATATATTGTACATTCTTACAGAGGAGATGTTTCTGGTACATATCTTTAACCTCAGTTTGCTGTGGGGGGAAAAAATCCCAAAACCATGGGGGAGTGGGTGGGGGTGTTACACTCGGAACGAGCAATCAGGAATCACTAAGATTTGGTATTCTTTATACTGTGTGGATTTAACCACTGTCAGGGTTCTGTAGTAGATGCTGTGCAAAAAAATTCTCTTTCTGTGTAAAATGCCTCATTCTAAACAACACAGAGAAGCAAATTCTTCTGTTGTCACAAGGTAGATAAGTAATGAAGTGAGAGCACCATCTTTTCAGAGGGTTAGTAGGGTGCTGCTTCACAGCTGGGGTTTGAAGGGTTGAAGTACTTGCTGTAATACATTTAGAAATCTGGTCAAGGTATTTGCATGCATTTTAAACATTATTTTTCTAATGAATTTATCTTGAAATGTTTATAATCCAGTACTTTCCATCTTCATGTAAAACAATTTTAAAAGGACGCTCAAGGGAAGACCTACAGCAGTAGACAAAAGAACAGTTGAATCCCTGCGTATGAAGCATAGAGTGGGCTTTTCCTTCCTTAGTATAAAGCTGTGTGCCTGCCTGCGCTTAAATCTTGTCTCTTTTTATGTTCCAGGATTAATCCCCACTCCAGTGCTAAAATCTCTTGCAACACACTCTGAAATTTTGGAGAGCAACTCTCGCACTCCTTATCCTGGCAGAAACTAAGATAAATTAATTTCAAAAGGAAAAGAGTTAGGTGGAATTAACTGGGATGTTGGAAATCATATAAAGCATGTTGCAGGTTGCCTTCCTTCTCTCTTCCTCTATAATGAGAAGAAAGGAAGTGTCAGTAAACTCAGGGGGGGAAAAAGTTGCATCTCCCTATTCAGCACATAGACAAGGAAGTCCCTGATTTGAATTATTTGGCTGCCATAGGAGATCAGCATTGAAATATTACAACTGAATGTTAAAAAAAAAGAAGGTAAGCCTGGATAGGTATCAAATGTAGTACTTTGACTATGGTCTGGTCATTTTGCAGGAACCTTTTTCAAAAATAAATATTTAAATAGTGTGATATTTAAAAGAAGAGTTGTCTTTTTCAAGGCATTGTCTATTGAGCGCTGAGGTGACCCGTTTGTTTGTTGGATTTGAGGAATACGAGGAAGTTTTAATCACCTAAATTTACATTGCAGGTACTTGTTCAGGAAGTACGTGGTGAACCTGAGTTGTCAGATGCTGTAGTATTTCTCTAAGGTGGATGTGAACACATAACTAGGATTTTAAAATTCACCAAAGATGAGCCAAATCTGATTCAGTAGTATGTTTTTAATCCAGGGTTAATAAAGCTGGATGTATTGGTTTGAGGTCAGCACAGCACTGACGAGTTACGTGGCTTTGGGGTCAGATGAAGCTCATACACAGAGGTGGTCTCTGCGAATTTTCCTT